CCAGAAATACCAGAAATATTTACTGTAAGTATATTATATTGCATTTAAATATTTAAATTTTGTTTTCCATTAGAAGTTTTTCTTTAAACAGTATAATTAATATCACAACACAGAAACATGAGACTCTCCCAGATAATGTATTGGTCCTATATGTTAATGTTATGACCACTTTTTTTTTTTTTTTTTTATTTCTATCTAACAAATCACATTTTGTCTTTTACTCTGACATGGCAGACAGGTCTAAATACTAAACTACTCATAAGCCTCAGCTGCTGTTTCCATAAAACTCTGGACAGTCACAGGCTCAAATCATAGTAGTGGTGATCTCAAAATGCTTTGTCATTATTGCTGAGAAGCCATAGCTGCTGAATTCTATTAAAACTGACCCAGAATGTAAAAGTGAACTCACTTAAGCTGCAGACTGTCTTTTCTGTTTTCTCAAAGCTGCTGTTAGCAGCTCACATGAGTTTTGAGCTTTGAATTATGCATGTGAGCAGGGTCTGAGACAGATACCTAGTGCTTTTGTTTACCTGGCGTATGTACAGGTTACCTAGCAACATGAATCAAACTTTTGAAACAACACTCAACAGCTAACTAGCCAAAACGGAAAGTTAACAGCTAACAAGCACTGGATCTACTCTACTGTGCCTTTGGTACATGAACAAAGGAGAAGGAGACAAGCCCCACTTCCATACTCGGCTGATAGCCATATGAGCAGAAGCAGGAAGTGTGGAGCGAGAGTGAGCTTATTACGAGGCTGATACTGGCATCAGCAGAACAAGTTTTAACAAGAGCTCGTACCCGAATCAGCACATACAGGAAGTTTTGAGGGAGAGCGAGTTGTGAAACTATGGGAGGTGGTTTTAACATTTCTTCTGAATATCCATTTCTAAAATGACATGACTAGTCAAAATGATAAATCAAGATATTTTAAATTGTATCATGACCAGTAAGGATGACAGTTTCAGATATCTACAATTACATTTTGACTAGTCACAATTCTTTTTTGAATATCTGAAATGACATCACTGTGCCATTTTAGCATTTATTAGATTGACAGAATTCATATTACAGATATCTACAATGTATTTATGACCAGTCAATACTATAACTTAAGACTTGACATGAATGGCAAAATTAATTTAAGATATCTACAGTTCAGTTCTGCCTGTCTGAAATGTAAATTCCAGATATCTGTAATTACATTCTGACTAGTCAAAATTCAATTTCTCTCAAATATTGTTCACAAATCTGTCTAAATCTGTGTTACTGAGCACTTCTCTTTTGCCGAGATAATCCATCCATCTCACAGGTGTGGCATATCAAGATGCTGATTAGACAGCATGATTATTGCACAGGTGTGCCTTAGGCTGGCCACAATAAAAGGCCACTCTAAAATGTGCAGTTTTACTGTATTGGGGGGGGTCCGAAAACCAGTCAGTACCTGGTGTGACCACCATTTGCCTCACACAGTGCAGCATATCTCCTTTGCATAGAGTTGATCAGGTTGTTGATTGTGGCCTGCCAAGAGGCAGTACAGAGAGAAGCTGAATGGCTTCTATTCTACTGCTGACTCCGGACGGATGTGGCAAGGCCTGCAGCACACGACAGACTACAGGACCACCACCAGCATAATCAGCCCCACAGACAGCCTGCCGGATGACCTCAACACTTTCTACACCTGCTTTGAGACCTCCAGCTACAGCACAGAGAGGATGGCACACACACACCTGGACTACTGACCCCCCTCCCCTCCACTAACTCATCAGGCCAGGTATGCAAAGTCCTGAGGAAGATCGACCCCCCGCAAAGCAGTGAGACCAGACAACATCCCTGGGAGGGCTCTCAGAGCATGTGCCAGCGAGCTGGCTGATGTTATCACCACATCTTCAACCTCTCCCTTAGCCAGAGCATTGTTCCCACCTGCTTTAAGACCACAACCATCGTCCCCTTTCCCAAAAAGAGCCCGGTCACCTGCCTGAATGACCACAGGCCAGTGGCACGCACTCCAATCGCTATCGTGGCTGGCCCCCCCCA